CCGGCTTGGAACAATTGGAATGGGGACCGCCCTCCCACCATGGTGGGAAACAACTCATCACGAAACAACTCATCCATAATTCCCTACATCTGTGTCTCACCCCCAAAGAGCCCGACATATGTCTTCCGTCAGCCACTGTTCAAGTGGGACTCTCTCAAACAAATTGTATTAACACATATCATACACTACCCAAACCTGGGAAGTTTGTCATGATTCACTGATTTCTGGCATCAATTAATTGTACTCCCTAAAAACTGGGAGTTGCAATCATTCAATGATTTAGAGTACCTACAAAGATACACGTACCAGGTACAAACAAACTCTTTTTAGTAGGACTGAATACCAAACTCTGCGTGCCTTTTTAAGGGCTTTGCGATACCCATGAAATCACCACATTTTACTGGTAACATCACCCATTTTTATTACCCTCTGGTAAACTAACGTAACTATGGAAAATCACCATTTTTAATGGGTAAATCAACTATAAATGGCAATTTTCAATAGGCATTGATGTCAAGATGATTTCCCTATGTGATTTTCCCACAACATCATATAACATCATTAGTTTCATCACTATCCTTCAGGTGAGCAGTGTTCAAATGCCTGTTTCATGAAAAAGTACAAACTGGGATGGTTCAAATTGGAATCAACCTCATGGTAACACAACTTCCCATCAACTCACCATCATCATGACTTCTATCATGATAGCCCTATATCAAGATTGTGCTGCTGAAAAAAATATATTTGGCGCATAACCCCCTTGGAATCATTCACCAGTTTCCCGAAATAAAATCAGGCTGGCCGTTGATGAAAAATCAACGGGAAATTCAAGAAAAACAATCAGATCATCACGGAAAAATCATAGGGTGAAATCAGATTCATACCCTCTGGCAATCAAATATTTGATGTTCCCAGTCACCTCCCATTTGGATAGTGTATGTTCCCATATTTACCATATTTCCCATGATTTTCTCATGTTTTTCCTATGTTTTTCCTATGGTTTTCCATGGTTTTCCTGTGATTTTCTCATGATTTTCCTATGGTTTTCCTATGATTTTCCTGTGGTTATGTAATGATTTTCCTGGATTTTCCCGCTCAAACCTCTACGTTTTCTGGGGATCATGGGATTGCTCCCGGGCCTCCGACAAGAAGCTTCTCGCCGCCGAAACCTCATCGGGAGCGATGGTTGGCGCCGGCGGCAAGGATGCCTCGGCCGGGGTTTTTCGAAATCGCCAGTGGCCGGAGTTACTTGGTGGCTCATCCCACGGCTCGTAAGTGAGTTATAACCCCAGTGATTTACATGGGATAAGTAGGGTTAATCCACTTATAACTGGGGTGAACTAACCCACTTACGAGCCGTGGGATGAGCCACCAAGTACTGAGATCTACTGTTCAATACATCAAACAGGTGAGATGTTCCATGATTTTCCGTGATTTTTCGTCACCAGAAACAATGCCTTTTTTGGGAAGGATTTCAGACACGGATCATCATTTCGTGACCGAAGGCGAGGTTCTTAGAATTTATCCAGAAACATCAGAAACATGTGTGGCGTTTCATGATTTTCTTGTAGAAGAAATCTCTGTCTTTGCGGATCATCATCGACATCATCCAACCCTTGAAGTCACACGCGAAAAAACCAACCGAGCAATGTCAAAACCCTATTGGGCAATCCCTTTTAATGGTTGCTTAATCAATTGATTATGATCCCCAATACTTAGAGGGTAGGGTAGTATAAGCCCAAAAATCATCAACCAACCATCATCCATCAGTTATGTATTTTAGGATCTCGATATTCTGGCAGGTTAAACCATTTTAAACCTAGTATTTCAATATGTTTGATACTTCAACCCCTATGATCATCAAGCAAGTGGTTTTTGACCACTAAGTCTCCCAACGCCAACACGTTTGGAGAGGTCCAAGCACGTGGCGACGTAGAATTTGTAGAGAAACGACCTCAACGAGCGCGCGATGGGCGAAGGCGAGTTGAGTTAGTTTTTTGATGCTGGCAAATTACGGCCATGACATGATGACTGAATGATGACTGAATGAATCAATCCATAAATGGCAACCAAATGGGTGGTTCACCCAGTAACAAACCACTTGAGATGCAGCTGGTATTCATGTATAGGGATCTCTGAAAAAAACAAAAAAAAGGCTGTTGTGCATGATGGCTACTTCCCTCCAATACCACATATTGGTGACCATACCATAGTGTTTAATATCAGGGGGATGGGAATTCATTTACCAGCAATCAAAACCCTCAGATGACTGAATGATGACTGAATGATGACTGAATAATGACTGAATGATGACTGAATGATGACTAAATGATGACTGAATGATGACTGAATGATGACTGAATGATGACTGAATGATGACTGAATGATGACTGAATGATGACTGAATGATGACTGAATGATGACTGAATGATGACTGAATGATGACTGAATGATGACTGAATGATGACTGAATGATGACTGAATGATGACTGAATGATGA